CAGAAAACAAAACCATGAGAAAGGAAGCTTACTGAATATCCACATCCATGTGAATTATAATATCTGTGTCCTGCACCTGCACTCTGCCAACTGCTTGTCAACATCTACATCTACCACTTGCATCTTATCACTTGCACCCTAACATCTGCACTCTATCATTTGTATCTTATCATCTGCATCTTACGCCTGCAACCCATTATCTGCATCCTAATACCTGCATCCCAACACGAGCATGTTACCTGCATCCCCTCATCTGCATTCAGTTACCTCCATAATAACAAGTACATCCCATCACTTTCATCCTACAATGTGTATTCAATCATCTGCATCCTAATACCTGCATTTTGCATCCTACCACATGCATCCTAACACCTGTATTCCATAACCTGCATCCCGCCACCTGCATCTTTCACCTGAAACATATCACCTGCATCCCAAGAGCTGCATCCTATAACCCAGGTCCTAACACCATTATTCTGTTACATGACTCCTCTCACCTGCATTGTAACACCTACATCCTACCACATACATTCTATCACCTGCATCCATCAAATCCTGTGTCATCTGCATCACCTGAATCCTACCATCTGCATCATATCACATGCATTATGTCACCTGCATCTCAACACTTACATCTCATCACCTGCATTCTGTCAATACACCCTATCACCTGAATCCTAACACTTGCATTCCATCTCCAACATCCAACACCTACCTCCTTTCACCTGTATCATATCATCTGTATCCAAGCACTTGCATCACATCACCTGCATCCCCTCATATGCATTCTAATATCTACTTCCTTTGCTTGTATGCTGTCACATTATCCCATTGCCTATATCCCATCACCTGCATTCTGCCACCTGCAGCCGTCATCTGCACCCCATCACTTATATCCCAACATAGGACTTGGTCAGCTCCCCCACCCTGAATTCCCCAAGAAGGATCACTTGGGATACATGAGATCTCCTGTTTTCAACAATGTTTCTGACAAAGGCAACAGAATATAAATGAAGAAAGAGGTCCCAGGTAACTGAGAAATGATACAAAAGGAAAACAAACTCTAGGGGAACCATGGCACAACAGGCACCCAAGAAGAAAAGCACGAGCTGTGAGGGCAAGTGTCCGTGCACCTGGGACTGGAAGGCCTAAAGCAGCCTGCAGGCACCCAGCTGCCTTCAGTCACTCTTGACCAGAAATAGGTCAGTGGCCAGAGAAGCACAGATGTTGTGGGGTACACTGTGTCAGCCTAATGGTGACATTCCATTGATGGCTGGATAACTGATAAGTTGACAGCTGGCTCCTGAGATGAGGTCTAATGGGAAATGCAGTCTGTGTCAAGTCAAGACACCAAGACCTCAAGAAAACTAGGAGGAGCACATCTTCCATGGGACCAGCTCTCTCCTGCCATCCTGGAGCTATATAAGAAGACAGAAATCTGCAGACATAAGGACAGAGGCATTCTACTTTCCCAAATCATTTTTTCTTGTTTTGCCGGTTTTCTTTCTGTTGATTGCATTATTAAAAGACAGCAAATTAAGCCAAGACCAATCACTGTGCTTGTCACAGTGGAGAAGGGGGCAGTGTTAGTGCTCACTTACCTGCCAGAACTCACTGCCTGAGTCACCACCATGTGCGGCTTTCCTCTGGCATCTTAATGAGAGGTGCTTTGAATTGGAGTGATTTTGAAAGCCACTGGAAGACAGTGCAACTCAAGGTGGATCTGTGACCTGGAGCAACCAGGTAACCTGCAGTTGAGCCAGTCCCAGCCCTATGCACCAGGCCCCTGGGATCTGTGCAGACACTGCAAAGAGGCTGCCCCAACTGCAACTCCATGCCTGGGTGTGAGGAGCAGCTCAACACTCACTGGTGCCCTCCAATGGGTCTTATCCATGCTATCCTGCACTGCTAATGCCACAGCAAGGGACAAAGTTCAGTGTGGCCAGATTTGGCGTGCATCCTGGATGCCTGGCAGGACTGCTGGCCTGGGCTTCAGAAGACCCTGGTACATGCATCCATGTATGTATATTATGCACGAGTATACTGTGCACATATCTGTGTGCACAAATGCATGTGTGCACTGTGCCTCTGTGTAATGTGCACACAGCTATATGTGCTCTGGTATACATATATGCATGTGTTTGGGTGTGTGTACGTGTGTCCTGGTACACTATGTGCAGTGTACACATAGTACATGCACCCTGCATCTGTGTAGTGTGCCTACATCTGTATGTGTACTGTTGTGTGCATGAGTACATACATTCTGGTTGTGTATGGGTACATATGTACACATATCCAGGTGCACATGTGTGCATAAGTACACACATATGTACTTGTGGTCAAGGGTTTTCCTACACTGCATCAGCACACTTACCAAGAATAAAAATTTTAGTCACTAGCCCTTTGAAATTCACAATATCTAACCATCTGATTATTAAAGATAAGTGATTGTTTAATTGAATTTTCCATAAAAGTTCAGCTGTGTGGTTCAGATCCATGTCCCTAGAGCAGAGCACTCTGATTCCAGAAAGGACCCATGTAGTAGACGTCTGTCAATCCTAAGGAAGCGTGACTTGTTTGGCAACTTCACTGCACAACTCTGTACATAGCATACTGTGTCCTCTTTATTCAATTATTCCCTTAAAACTAAATCCCTAGTCACATGAGCAGTGGACTCCTCCTGCTTAACTGGATGGAACCTTTATATTAAAAGAATAACATATGTTACCAAAAAAATAACTTACAAACTCAGCATTTAACCACATAAAAATGCTAACATGTGTTTAATTTTGTTGTCCCATCATCATCATCATCATCATTGTCTCCTGACAGGAAGCAGAGTAAGACCCACTGGGAAAAAGGTCAGAGCTGGCCTCATGTCCAGAAAGCACATAGAATCAACTCTGAACCACTCTTAAAAGCTAGAATAAACATACATTAAAACTGCTGCCATGAGTTTCTGTGGAGCACAATGGGGATAGAAAGTGAATCTGATTTCAAGGAAGGTTGGTAGCCTCATGATCCTGGACTCAATTCCCTGAGAACTAACCTTTGTAACAATTTGAGTTCAGGGAAGGACAAATTCTATTTCCTCTAGTAAGCTTCAAAAACGAAATGATGAAATACATGTCTTAGAGCCACCCCATAAACATGGGAGCTGAGAGTTTGTGGCATTACAAAAGCTCAGTCCTGAAACAACCCAATTTGTTTCATGGTCATAGGAAGAGGCAGATTTGCCCTGGACTGTGCCTGACCCCTCTATTGTCCTGCCTGAGCAATATGCAGGTATCTGTCCACTCATGCTCTGCTTTCTGTCCCGTTCCAAGAAACACCTGGACCTTCAAAGAAGTCATTGACTGTGAATGCAACTCTGAAAGACTTAGGCAGCATCTCACATGTTGAGCTACATAACCTGTGTAAGACTGAACACCTCAGAAAACGAAATGATGGTAGAAGACTTGATTTGGGAGACTGCTGTCTGCAAGTCCTCTGTACCCCAGGCAGCTGCAAGGAGCCCCGTCTACCACAGGCAGAAAGGCCCGGCAGTTGCCCGGGAAGCTGGGAGGGTCCTGGGAGAGGCACCTGGCAGCTCACATTGAATTTAGCTCATGGGATATTTGAAGTTGCTTTTTGCTGCCACTTGTAACATTTTCACTGTGGCTGATGGCCAGCAGGAAACTGGTCCTCGGGTAGGCAGCATGGGTTGGTGGGCCACAGAATCAGAGAATCAGGCTAAACCCCCAGGATAGCCCCTGGTACGAGCAGTGCCTTATGGCCATGAGGGAATCCTTTGGCTTTTCTTTCTTTCTTTCTTTCTTTTTTTTTTTTTTGTCCTTTTCCTTTTTATCAGTACCGGGGATCGAACTCACGACTGCCTACTTGTAAGGCAGGCACTTATGCCGCTGAGCTAAATCCCCAGCCCCTGGGAATCCTTTTTCTAGGTAGCTTTCTTCCAGCAGATTAAGGCCTGAGCCTGGATTTGATCAGAACCCCGCACACTTTTACATACATCATCCTAGCTCAGCAGGATGGATTTGCACTGCTATCAGTCCACATACTTCCTGGAAATGGGGCAAGGTCTCTTCCTCCAGAGGCCTGTAGCAGGTATCCCAGTCAGAGCTCAGCTGGGAGAGGGTCCTCAGTCAGAAGGAGTTCAGAAGGGTGTGAACAAGGGACTGGGCTGGGGAAAGGTTCCACCTCAAAGCCTGCACCTGGCAACTACACCTATCCTTAAATTTGGCTGATGTTACCATTGGAAGGGACTCCTGCCACCTGAAAGACACCACACAGGTTCCCTACCTTCCCCCACTGCAATGCCCTGTGTTAGTGTTTAGGCCAGTCTTCCACCTGCCAGACACACACCTTCAGGCCAGGGTGGGACTCAACCTCAGCAACAGCTACTAACCTGGTACTAAGAATGATACCCAGCACAAGGAAATCTAATCACCCTTTTCAAAAACTGTGAGCCTGCCTGGCCCCCCAACCAGCCCACCAGAAGGATGGAAACACACTCATTGTCACAGGCAACTTTTTTTCATATTGTGTGTAAATGTGCACACACATACACATTTTAGTCATTTAAAAGTATGACCTTCACATTCATTAAGGCTACTTAAGGGGTATATTTTAAATGAAATGCTATATAATATTCAAAATTACCAGAATAATGAGTTAACAGGAAAACTGTCTTTGCAGAAAAACTATGACTGTGATTTTCCAAAATAGGATTAGATTGCTCGTATGTATCAACCAAAAATAAATTCTACTGCTTTGCAGTAGAAATTGCACAGCCAGTTTCCAAAAACAGAAATGCAGGGGCCTGGCATCTCAGAGATGGGCTGGACCTGCGGCCAGCCCACAGCACACAACCGTCCACACTCAACACTGTAGGTCCCATTCAACCACCCCCATGCTGATTTGCCTGTAGACATCCTCTCGCTTGGAGCTGGTGGAAATTCTCCAGTAACACAGCACTTAATTTAATAAAGGAACTCACCAACTTCAAATTGCAATAAATTTACCAAACATGTTCACTGTTTATGGAGAGAGGTTTACAGTAAGAAAGGGTCGACAGAAGCAGGCACATCCGTGTACAGAGTGTTCTGTTGGGTGGATTTTCACTTCCTCCAGCCTCACATACCGGCTGCTTTCGTCCCTGTCCTCCCAGCCATGGTCCTCGCAGGAAGTCACCCTCGCTGGCCGCTCTATTCTTGTCCCCTCGACCGGGGACCTGCAAGTACAACCTCAGGGAACCAAGAACTCCGCTAAGGTAAAGAGCAGTCGGAAAGCCTACCCAAAACATGGGTTGTAAACTTTGAATGGAATCCGGATACCAACGACACAGAGGAGAAACGGAGATGAGGGCCCCTGGCGGCGCGCGGCGCTTAACAGGCCCGGCCTGACTCCCAAGGGCGCGTGGCCTCAGAGGGTGGCCGGCAGCAGTACGGGTAAGAGGCGTTTAGGTCGGGGTCCGAGGGCACGTAGCCTGGCAGCTCCACCGACGGGTGGCCGCCACAGCACACCTCCACGCCCACCTCGTCGCGAGCATGGAAGACGCCCACGTTGATGAAGGACACCGCGTGGTGCGCCGCGAAGCCCGTGCAGTCCCCGGGGCCAACGAGGTCCGACTCCTCAGCAGACAGAATAGAGGCCTCACTCGGCCGCGGCTGCAGCCTCCGCGCCCGCTTTCCCCGCCGGCCACGCCGCGATCGAGAGGCCGAGGGCTGCGCGCGGAGCCCTGGGCCACTGCGGGGCCGCGAGGGGGTCCGGTTCCCCCTCCGCCGGCCGCGCCGGCCGCGCCGGGCCTGCGAAGACTTGTAGTTCTTGACGAGCAGGAGGCTGAGCAGGCCCAGCAGGCACTCGAGCGAGTTGAAGACAGTGGAGAGCACCAGGCCGCGCTGGTAGTCCTTGAGCTGGCGGCACTTGGCAGACGTGGCGCTGTCCAGCGGGTTGCGCGCGCGCGACGCAGAGCCAGGGGCCGGGGGCGCAGGGCCGGGGGCCGCGGCCGGTGCGCGCGCAGGCAGGCAGTAGTGCGAGTACTTGCGCTCCACCAGTGACACCGTGTCGCCGTCGATCACGGCACCCGCGAAGGCGCTGAGGACGCCAAGCATAAACACCAGGACGCCCAGCAGCAGCAGATTCTGGCCGCCTGCCGGCCCCGGGACCCCAGCCACCGCCCCCGCCTCGCCCGGTGCCGCCTCGGGGGCTGCTGGGGCCCCGGGGACACCAAGCCCAGCACCTGGTCCCGGAGCGGACCCCGGTCCGGCGGGCGGCGCTCCCCGGGGCCCGCAGCACAGCAGCGCGGCGCCCAGCAGCGAGAGGCCGGCGGCCAACAGCAGCCCCGAGTAGAAGGCGCCGGCGGCCGCGCCCAGGCGGAACGGCTCCCCGCGCAGCTCTGAACCCAGCGCAAAGCACTTGAGGCCGACGGCGGCGGCGCTGAGCGCGCAGGCGAGCAGCAGGCAGGAGGAGAGCGCGGCGCAGGCCCCGCGGACGCTGCACTTCATCCTCCGCGCCCGAGCCGACCCGCGCCCCGCGCGCCCGCCGCCGCCCGCCGCCGCCCGCGCCGCCTGCGCCTCCTCCCGGCGCCGCGCGGCGGGCCCGCCGGCCTCCTCCTCATCCTCCCGCGTCTTCCCGGGCCCGCGCCGCAGCCGCCGCCGCCGCCGCCGCCGCCGTCGCCTGGGCCCGCATCCTCCGCGACCCCGCGCCGGGAACTCGGGCGACGCCGAGTTCCGCAGGGCGCGCGCGCCCCCTCCCCAGCCCGCCCGCGGTCCCGCGAGCCTGGCACCGCCTTCTGGGTCTCCCCTGCCTCGCCCTCCGGGGCCTGGGGCTCCACCCCTGCACCTCCCTCCTCTCTGTGTCCTGGGACTGCACCTCCCTACCCTCCGGCGCAGCGGCTCTCCACGCCCCCGCCCGCAGCGCCGGAAAGCAGTGGATAGCGGGACGGAGGCGGGGCCCGGAGCGCAGGCATATGGGGGGGCAGGGTGCGCGGAGTGTGCCCGAGGGGTGCGGGGCGTGCGGGGTGCACGAAATGCGCGGTTTTTGGTGTTCCATGAAGTGTCCGAGGGATATAGATGGGGCGTGCACGCGTGCTGTGAGGTAGAGGTGTGAGTGCGCGCCGCGTGGGTACGAGGGGTGTGTATGGGGTGTGTGCATGTGGGTGTGGGATGTGTCGCGTGCGCGCGCTGAGTACCGAATCATCAAGCCCAAGCCCGGCTGGGGCGAAATCTTGGGCAGAATCTCGGGGGAATGGGGTTGGGTTTGGATCGAGGCTGGTCTCCAGAGCAGGCCGACTTCCGCAGACGCAGCGCTGATGAATTAGGCAAGTGGCCTCCTCCCGCCCCGGCGCACGCGAGGACCCCTGACGCGAGGGCGGTCCGGCTGGCAGCCCCTCACGCGGTGACTCAGACCGCCTGCGCCTAGCGGGTTGTGCGCACGGCTGTGTCGAGGGGAGCAGAGGGCCTCTCCAGGCCTCGCCGAGGCCCTCCGGGAGGGGCGCAAAGACTCCTTGGTCCCCAACCGCCGCCTCCACTCCGGAGCTGGGAATAATAGTGGTCTCGCTGCGTTTTTAGCTGAGCGCCGATTTTGGAACCGCGACCTCTGGCCTTGCGCGCGCATGATGACTCGCAGGATCTCGGGGTAGGGTCCTGCCTCCGCGAGAGCGCTTGTGAGCCAGCTTGTGTGCGGGACGCGGCGCCCACGCGCAGACCTCCGGAGCAGCCTTCAGTGGTTCCTGGTTATTTCAGTTTCCAGGGAAACGAGCTTCGCAGTAGCAGCCAGTGCAGGATCTGCCTCTCTTCTGCGCTCCAACGCTGGGACGCACGCAGCGCTTCCTCCACTGAGCTGCGGGGCTACGTAGAACTGGAACCGTCCCATAGTCAGGGCCCCAGAAGAGCCCTATCTCAGGCCTATGAGGTTTTAGCCTCCTAGTCTTTACGTTTGTTGCCCTCCCTCTGCCTGGGCCTTTGCGCAGAGCCCTTGCTCCTGGATTTGTCCCAACTCCACTCCAAAGCTTCACCTACCAACCCCCCACCTCCATTGCTCAGATCTTAGCTTCATCCCACTAACAGCCTCCGTTTTGTCAGTGCATTTTCTTCTGTCGCCATGCTGAGTGCTTTACAAGACTTTCTGATTCACCTCCTTCTAATTTAATAACGGGTAGGTGCCGTTATTCTCCCGAGAGCTCAGTGAGAAGTGCAGACCCAGGCTGTACTCACAGCCTTCCTGCTCCCCAAGTCCTAGTAGATTCCTCCTCCCCACCCCATAATACTGCTTTCCTTGTGGTCTAGCTGTGTCTTCCCCAAGCTAGGATTTGGGAGAAGGGCTGTCCTCAGCCACCCCCACTAACTCTCAGCTCACTGGGCTCAGGGCATGGGACCAGTAGGCAAAGACGTCTCCAGGACAGTTGTAAAGATCTACCTCCTTCGTTCCTAAGGCTCAGGCCCAGGAGCCAGTGTGCAGGAAAGCCCCACCTCCTGGGCAGGAGAGGCTCTGGGAGACAGGAGCTTTTCAAGTGGAGGCCGCCAGCGGCAGGAGGCCATTCATCCTGAGCAAGGGGACACCCACGGCAGGAGGGGGCGCTGGTGAGTGGAGCACGGAACCTGCGACTGTGATATTCATCGCAGATTTTGCTGCTGCACCCCCCCCCCACCAATCCTGCATAGTAGTGTCGGCAGGACCCTGCGGTAGAGGAGAGGCCAGCCCAGTTGTTCTGGCACGCAGAGCTCTCCTAGGGTGTCTGTCGCAATCACTGAGACCCCTCAAGTACCCCTTACTGACAGCCATGGCCTCCACACTTGGAGTGGATTTCTGACACCTAAAGCCAAGTGAGGATTGGAATAGCTATGTGCAATATAAAATCTAATGGCATTGCTTTCAGACTCTTCCCCCCAAGCCACAACCGGGCTCACCCAGGAGCACTTTCCTTTTCCCACCACCGTGTGGCGCCATCCTCCACATTTTCTCAGCCTGCTGTTTGGGAGGAAGATCTGTCCACTGCTTTGGGGGCCTGCCGGGTCAGAGAAGGGAACCCTCCCTGAACCTGGGAAAGAGGAATCACATTAAAATCAGAGGGCCCACTGCTGCAGAGTAGCTTCACACAGACTCCTGGGTAGCCCTGATGGTCACTCCATGCTAAAGCAAGAGCATTTAAAAACAATTGTGATTTTTGTGATTACAAGAGTAATCATGTATTAAGAATTTTTCCTACCATCTTTAAATCTTATTAAAATTCGATTTTCTGGAGTATTGAATTCTATTAATTTGGGTAATTATAATTATTTTTCTAATTTATCACTTAACTTTTTAGTATTTTTAGCCTTTATTTTTTAACTCACTCTCTTCATCCATTTTCTGTTGGTATAACAAATGCTACAGACTGGGAAGTTTATAAAGAATAGTAATTTATTTGGCTGATGTTCTGGAAGCAGAAGTCCAGGACCCTGTGCTATGTCTACTGGCATCAGTGAGGGCCTCCTCTGGGCCATGACCTGGCCAGGACCTCACATAGTGACACAGAATAAGCTGCCCAAGCACTTGTACCAGCACTGCTCCTGGGCAACCCTGGAACCTCCCATCCATTAACCCACACATGAGCATTCAGGGCCTTCAAAAGGCAGCTGCTTCCTGGAGGTCCCCTTGCTAACCCATGATCAATACAGAACTTTGGGGATAAGTTTCCAGTACATGGACCCTAGGGGTCAAGCATTTAAACCGCTGCACTGACCAGGTAGCCAAGATGCAGTCTCATTACTAGCTCTCACCCTTTCTTCCAGGATAACCACTATTGCAGATGCACTGTGGCTTCTCTTGCAAACTGCACACGGGTGAGTAATCCAGAGAGCTTGTATGAAACCAAGCAGAGGGGTCTTACAGGTGCAGTGGTATACCTTATTATTTCAAAAGCTTTGTCTTACAAAGTATTAGAGATCCACAAAAATCATGAAATATACATGTGGCAGCTTAATAAGTTATGATTGAGCACCTGCTTCCCTGCATCCAAGAAACATCACAGCACCTGAATACCAGCCTACCACAGCCACAGCCACAGCCACAGCCACCCCTCCCCATGCTAAGGTACTGCCCACTTCACCTGAAGTCACTTCCTTGTGCTCGTGGGTATCTTTATTGACATGGCACGGATCTCTAACTATGATGCTCTGGTCTTGCCTGTTTTTGAACGTCATATAAACAATCACAGAGCATAATGTGCACATGTCTGGCTTCCTTCATTTGACTTTGTGTCTGTGAAATGTGCTCATGTTATTGTACGCAGCCAGAGCTTACTCTTTGTTGGCCTCAGAGCCATTGTATAAGATGTCACAGCTGCCTTGCCCATTCACTGATGATGCATGTCTGCCTCCAAGTTGGGAATATTATAAATTGTGAGCCTTCTAACTTGTGTGCCCTGAAGCTCCCAGCATACATTTTTGGGTGTGTACCTAAAAAAGGAAGTTGTTGGGTATGAGTAATACCTATCTTTGCTTTCTGTGACCTCTGTATTGAGATATAGTTTATGCACCCTGGTTTTAAGAGTATCACTCTGAGTTTGGAAGTGGGGTGCCTCACCACTGCTTCAGAGAGCATGACTGTCCCACTTTCCATAAGAGCCCCCTCCTCAACCTCCCTTTACCCACTCTGGGCCCATTCAGCTTCCATCTACCACCCATCACTGTGGTTTTAATTTAGCATTTTGTGTGCATAGATACACACAAGAGGCAGTCTTTTATGTCTGGCTTCTTTCACTTGGCATAATACTTCTCAGGTTTATACATATTGTTTCATGAATCAGTGGATGTTCACTTTTGCTGCTGAATAGAATTCTAACCTGTGTCTATCCAGTCACAAAATGATGGGCTTCTGGGCTTTTTCACTGAGTTTATTCAGAATAAGGGTGTTGTTAAGAGGTGCTTGGTGGTGTCATTCAAGTACAACTCTTTTGTGAACATTTTGCCACCTCTCTGGGGAGCGATTGCTAGGTTTTGTCATAGGCACCCATTTAACTTCAGAGAAACTGACAGACTTTCAGAGTGGCCAAACCCTTTTTCATTCCCCATACCAATGTGTGAGCATCCCTGGGCTTCATATATAGCAGTCTTGGGAGGAGCTGGCCTCGTGGTGATACTGTCCTAATTGATAGGAGTGGCATCTAGTTGTGGTTTCAGTATGAATGATGCCACACCTTGCATGATCTTCATGAGGGGTCTTGTCAGATCTTCTAATGATTTGAAAGAATCAGGTTGTCTTTTGTACCTAAGCAGTGATATTCTTTAGGTATTTTGTATGCAAGTGTGTCAGATAAATGTTTTAAAAATATCTTTTCCCAAACTTTTGATTTGCCTTTTTATCTTCTTTCTGATCTCTTTTTAAAAGCAAAACTTCTCAACTGTAATGCCATTCCATCATTTGTCTCTTCTATATAAGTCTGAGAACTATCCCAGAAATGTTTTCTTGAATCTAAAAGTGGTTCCTCCCATGTCTTCTGGAAGTCTTATAACTGGTTTTAGCTTACACATATGTCTGTGACTTGTTTAAAATTAACTTTTGCATATGAGTGAAGTAACAGTCACGATTTTATTTTTGTATGTTGATATCCAATTGTTCAGCATCATTTCCAAAAAAAATGCAATTTAAACCTTAAATTCCCTTGGCACTTCTGTTGAAAATCAAGTGATGGTAAAACTAAGAGGCTATTTCTGACTCTGAGATCTGTCCTGTTGATTGGTAGGTCCAACCCTACACCAATACCACACTGTCTGGATTATTGGAACACTGTAGGAAATCTTAGAACCAGGCAACGTAAGTCTTCAAACCTATTATTCTTTTTCAAAAGCATTCATCTATTCTATGTTCTTTGCATTTCCACATGGATTTTAGAATCAGCTTCTTAATTTTTTTTTTTTTTGGTCAGTACCTGGAATTGAACTCACAACCATGTGTTTACAAGGCAGGCGCTTATGCCGCTGAGCTAAATCCCCAGCCCCAGCTTTTTAATTTCTACCAAGATGTTTTATCAGGAGTTTGATTGGAATTACACCTGTATATTAATTTGAAAATAACTGATATTTGACAATATTGAATCTTCTGGTCTAAATTTATTTAAGTCTTCATTAATTTCTTTCATCAATATTTTACAGCTTTTCAGAGCACATTTTACTACACTTATCTGTAAATATTTCATATTTTGATGCTTTTGTAAATATTAAAGAGTATTGTAATGTTCAATTGTTTTTCATGGTATTGGACAGCTGATTTTTTAAATTGTCTTTTGATTCTGTTCACTTATTAATTCTAGCAGTATTTTTATGTATCTCTTAAATTTTCTTCTTTGCCTCACTGAGATGATCACAGTAATATGGAGAAATGCACTGACTGATGTCTAAGGTGATATCAGCTTTTTGTCACTATAACAAACTACCTGAGGCAAGTTATTTATGGAGAAAAGAGGTTTGTGTATCTCATGTTTTGGAGGATGAAAGTCAAACAGCACAGCCTCGTGTCCCTAGAGCAATCTCACTTACTTATACAAAACATGCTTTTTGTGTATAGTTGGTGTGGTTTGTACTATTCTTGAGGGTTTTAGTATAGATGTTAATACAGCACATTACTTTAATGTTCCTCATGAAATGTTTTCCTCTGATTTTATTGTCAGCACAGCACTGATAATGAGGTAAATTGGAAAGAACTCCCTCGCTTTTCTCTCTCCTGTAAAAACCTGTTTAGAATCTGTACTTTCTTCCTTCAGTGTCTGGCAGAATCCAAGAGTGAGACCATCTTGAAGTTTTCTTCGGGAATGAAACTGACTATGACTGCTATTTGTTTAATAGACACAGGGCTCTTCTATTCACAGGTATTTGTAAGTGACCCATGGTGTCCTGA